TCCCCCCCCCCCCCCCCCCCCCCCCCCCCCACACCCATTGTGGCTGTGAGTACAAACTCTTTGCAGTTTGTCCCCAGCAAAAGAAACCACGACCAATGCCTTAAATTCGAAATAATCATGATAATGCTGGCATGATCCAGAGCATCCAGAGTACATTCACCACTTTCGGTGTTTAAGACTGGGTTCCCATACACAGATCGATCCATCTGGAACAACCTAACGCCCTGGGGGTTCCCGCTTAATTGCTATCAGCTCAAGAGGCTTGAATGTCTTTCACGCCTACCGAATGAGCTAGGGGTAAAGATGATTACCCCCTAACACTTTTACTAGGCGTGACAGACGTTCAGGCCGGTTAGTTTGATATTAATTTAGTGAGACTCCCCTGGGAGATAGATCGATCCAAATATATGTGGGAATGATCCCTAAGATTCACTTGTTTGAAGTTTACATTCCCAAAAAAAAAGATGATCAAGTTTTTTTATGAAACGAGATGTACAAAGGGGCGGATCCAGACTTATTTGAAGGGGACACGTTTTTTTTTTTTTTTTAAGGAATGACAGGCCTCCATTACGAAGCCGACCCTCTCCCCCTTGTCAAGGGTTCCGAAAAAAGGTGTTTTTGAGGGCAAACGGTGCCATTGGGTACGGCTTGGAACAAAGGTTTATACAGTCACAATTCTAATTTCAAGAAGGGATACTGATGTAATATTTTTTTCAGAAAACGAAGGGGGGGGGGCAAGACACCACCACCGCCACCACTAAGTCCTCCACTGCGTACAAGTGGTCGGAAAAAACCCTGCACCCTCTGATACGATTGACTGAAGACGTAAGTCCTTTGGGAAACAGGATCAGATACTATTCTTTAGGCAGGAAAAGTAAGCTTTCTACCTACCAATATTAACAACCCGCATCATTTCAGAGATGAACGCCTGCACATAGGGCAGGTGCGGCTTGTCTTGGAGAGAAGGGCGGCGGCCATTGTCAATCACCTAAAAAGAGGATTTGCCAATGTAAAACGGAAAGGCTCTTCAATCTTGACTTAATATTTTTGGCGTATTAATGCACTGTTTTAAAATCATCGAAACGGGTCCCCTTTTGTTTTATTACTTGATAAATTCATTCTGCTGCTGTGTAGTGTTCTGGTTTAAGAGTAAGACAATAAACCATGTTCTCTATCATCTGCAATATTTCTTTGTGCAATTCCCTCTGGATTTCTGGGTAGCACACCAAAAAGAGGATGGCCCAAGTAGTGGAGAGAGAAGTAGTTTCTGTCCCCGCAGAAAACAGATCCACTATGGCTCGAACCATGCTTTCATCTGGAGAAAAAAATAAATGTGCCATAATGACGGTACATTTATAATAAGGACTCGCCCAGGAAGCAATCAAGCCAGCAGGCCCAGTTTTGGTTCACACAGTTAAAGAGTGAACAAACTGGAGTTTTGTGGGCTTAGGGTGTAACCAAGGATTCTGTATGGGGCCCACGAGGACTACTATTAAGGGCTATTTTCCAATGAAACTATCGTTCAACGTAGATCTACCCAACCTAGATTCCGGGAACTATAGTTGGATGCAATGAGATTGATAGATTAACATGCCTACTCCTGAAGAATAGAGAAAAGTTGGCGATTTTAAAAGTCCGTTGGAAACAAAAGGAGGTGTTCTTAACTGATTGCATCCAGCGAGGGTCTCCACAGAGTTAGATCGATCTACGCAGAACGATACTTTCTTTGTGAATGAACCCCAATTCCCAAAACCCGGGTCTAGATACTGGAGATTGCTACCCAAGCCATCCAAAACGATCGATGTGGAATCCATGGGCAAACCATGGCAGTGGAGAAATGGGCAGTCCCCTGGTAACTAAAGTGCTGGTTACATTGGCTCCTAGGTTGACCCCAGCTAAGTTCGCTGGGAGGGAAAATTAGTTAAACAGCGAGACAATAGTCAGAATGCTTATACCTGTACTAGGTAAGTACCTACTTGCTACTTGTTCTTTTCCAGAGGTATTCTAGCTGTTTCAAAATTGTATACAGTTAGAAGAGTATCTTTAGAACATGTTGTCACCTGATATAAATTTGAGTGGCATTTTTCTAAGTCTTTTGCCCAGCTGCCATTAGTGTTTGTACATATATTTAGTATTCATGCAAGTCCAAAGAATAATGCTCTTCTCACTGAGCCCCCCTCTTCCCCTTTCGGAAATAACTTACTGGAAAACGCTTTAGTTTGCCTCTTTTCGTTATCGGATACTTGCAGGTACAGATCTACTATGTCCCGGATGTTGTCGGGGTCAAAGGTCTCCTTGTGCTTCTCCACCTGCTGTCTGACAAAATCTCTCAAGTCGTTTTGGATGCCTATCATGTCTTCTGTCTGGTGAAAGAAATGACGCGTATTTTGGTGGGCCCAGGGGTGACCAAGGTGGGTGCCTGTATCCTTCCGCTTTCGAGGTCCCATAAAATTATACCATTTACAGGCCCGTAGCTAGCAATTGCAAAAGGGGGGGTCTTTTTCTGAAAAAGTGGACTTTTTTTACCATGAAACCTTTATGTACCTAAATAAAAAATTAACTCAGAGGGGACCTTTTCCCGGCAAACCCAACCGCCCTGGCTAGGGGCCTGATTTAAACAAGGATGTGTACACGACTTTTGTAAGGTTGACCCCGTCCCCAGGCAAATATCAGTAGATAGAGCCTATAATCTATGGGCGTGTTCCCAATGAAAATATCGTTCTACGTATATCGTTCAAACTCAGCTGGGGCTTTCGTTGAATGCAATCAGATTAATTGAATGAAACGCCTCCTCCAACAGGAAGGTGGTGATTCATTGTCGTGTGCGCTCGCTCCTACTCGAAACGAAGTGAAAAAGTTTCCAGAAGCAGAGAGCACATGAAAATTAATCACCCCTTGCATTCGCATACCAGTAGTTGGATCGATCTATGTAGAACGATAGTTTCATCTGGAATCCGTCCTAATTCACCAAGTCTGTTTGGTGCACGTATTTTAACTGAGCCCCAGTTTTAAATGGACCAAAAGACATACTGGGTACACGTGCAAGTTATCTTCCAAATGTAAATCATGTCATCTAATATATTACCGATTCAGACCCTCTTTTGAAAGTGATACACACAAGAAATGTAAGAAACACGTGTTCCTTACGAATACTTAAAAGTTTAATCTACCTGTGATGACGTTCGGATGAATCTCAAAAATGGAAACGCGTTTTCTGGAAGCGCGAGAGCACTGGTCCGAAAAAACCTCGCCAGTGAGTCCAACAGTTTTACAAACTGCTTGTCTGTGTACTGGAATCTGGAAAATAACACATGAACTCATGATTGGAATATGCTACGGAATTCAGCGTATTAACAAGCTAGTACGGTGTAGGGTTCTGTTGAAGCATTCAACGACAAAATCACGGACCCAGGGATACGGGAACATTATATAGCGTCCATAATTCCTGCGCACATGGAAAGACCACTAACAGAATTGGTCTACGTGAACCCCCACTCACCACCACCAGTTATATCCCCCCATGTCCCCTTGAACTCATCTGTCTCCCCTGCAGCTATTATGTGCCGCTTTTAGCTTCATTGTGCCTCTCCCTATTTCCCTTATGCTCCCCTGTGATCCAAATAACTACCCTGTTTCTCTATTTCCCCCTCTGCTCCATATAACTCTCCCTATTACCCTTACGCTCTCTTCTGACTATATTTCCCCCGATCTTCCTTGAGTGTACCAGTAAGTTTAGCTGGGCCCTCGGTGGAACATAGGACCTACCTGTCTCCGAACGTAATAGAGCAGATAATGTTGGACACTGCGGACATTAACGTTCTCTGCAGATTGGTACTTTGTATGGACTGTGCTTTCTGCTTGGAGTCAAGTACTTCAAAGAGGGCCTGGCACTCGTCCAGTATGCGTTCCTCCAGCGTCTTCTTTCCCACTCCGAAATCACGAAAGGCTACGGCTATCATTTTACGCAGCTCGTGCCAGGAGGGGCCTTCGTTCATGATTAACCCTTAAAAAGAAGCTACATGTGACGGTATATAGTTATTTACGATAAAGATGGTACAGGACTGCAACCAGAGGTTGAAGAAATTGTGGTTATAAATATAGAACTGCCTAGCATTTCGTTTCACATTAATGAAGCATCTTGAATCTTTGTAACGTGCTCATTCCACCTTTGATTCCCTACAGAGATCAGTATCGAAATGCAGTAACTCTAGAACGACACTCATTTTCAATGATGCATAAAAAGTCCCCTAAGGCAATTCTTCTTAACACCATACTTAAATAAAAAGGTACATTTAGGAAATGTTTGAAAGCCTCACGCTGCAAATTCGCTTACCTTTCTTTCCTATACCTTTCTGAATGATATAAATCAGATCGTGAGGCCTGCCGGTGAATAGCTCGGCCTTTTCGGAGAAAGCCTCGTGAATGGCATCATAGCCGTTTATAATCACCATGTCCAACACCCCCAGCCGGAGTGAGAATACTGACCCGTGCTTCTGAGATAACTTCATGAAGTCTTTGGCCTGCATCTTGGCCCCGATCACGCTGGGGAGGTTCCCTATTACGGGCCATCTCAACGGCCCTGGTGGATATCTGTGGGGCTTTCTCTGAGCAACCAGGAATAGCAGTATGATCAGAAATATTAACACTGTGGGCACGTCCTGATAGCTCAGCAACAGTTGTGTGATGCTCATTGCCGTTCCTTGTACCCTTGGGTTCGGTGGGACCCTAGCCGTAACTTCGACTGCAACTTTAGGGCTGGTCTTTTCACTCTGGACCCTGGATTCAGCAGTCTATGTGCGGATAGATTTGACCTTACACTGCGTGAAGGTTTTACAGGTATGACGTACGCGTCCCATATATTGACCTTCTTATATTGCCTATTGTGGCTGGTGTGTGTATTGACTCTTACTGTGTACCTGGGATCCAAAATAAGATTTGGATCCTAGAGTGTACGTTGTAAAACATTCTGTTTACATGACCTCAGTCAAGTTTAAGAAGCAGTGCTAACGGGGAGAATGTATGCATGTGTAATGACTTATTAAAGTTGAGACGTAGTTTTCAGTTTGCCGCACATGTACGTGTCACGTATAATAGCTAGTTCCGTTGTAACAGTAATCCAAGTCCCCCAGGTTCCTGGTAATGGTTGTCCGTAAGACTAACACTTGGGCATAGTAGTACTACAGGGAGTTAGGTTCCTGGCTCATAATTAGTGTAGGTAGGACTTGTATTACTGTCGGACTTTTATTCCTGTTTTATTCCTGTTCCGGCCATTTGAAAGTCCTATCCTTAGGCAATAATACTTTTAAATGATAAAACTATAAATGTATATGAAAGCCCTCTGGTGAGCCATATATCAGACAAAACATGACAGGTTTGCAAACTCAACTCGTCTGTGTGTGGTTAGCGTGCAAGACCACAAGGTAAGATATCATCGATCCTTCTTTTGCATCTATGGGTTCGAGACCTACCTTTGACTTGACCATACCCCCCCCCCTTACCCCTATTTATTACTTGTAGCAAAATGTTTAATGGCGTTTTTAATGTCTAATATGTGTTCGAAATTCCGTGCTCATTACATTTACAACTTTTTTGTTTTGTCTTTTAAGTGTCAAAGCACCAAAATAGCAAAGGGTTATTACAGAACATTAAATACATATATTGCAATTTTCAATTTCTAAACTGTCATGATTTGTCTTAAATCTCAGCCCATACTTTCCAAGAGCAAATTTCCATCGAGTTTGAGTTTCTCTTCAGGATTCTCTGATTGAATACTCCAGCGTCTGACATTAAACCACGGGCATCCACACCAACCCATATGAATTTATAGTCTGCGTCTACAACGCCTAAAACAACTATGGGAAAAATCCCTTTTAGTTAAAACACGCGCAACCACATTCAATGGGCTTCTTCATTCGGACGTGCTTGGCTATGGCTCCAAGGCAATGGTGGAAGTTCCAACGTCTCACGCCATCCATCTTGAGACGTCGACATCACCAACACCTCGTCCTTGTACTCTTTTACAATTTCCTTGCACACATCAGGAACCAACAAGGAAAAGTCCGCCGTATAGTGCTCGTGCGGGTATGGTGCAATGCCACACCTATGTCATTACGACCTACGGGCTTACGATTTTTAAATTTGTCAGAAGTTTTAGCTTGACAAAATCGTAGATGCTACGGAGGCCGTAAATCCTTACAATTCGGTTCGATTTCGCTCGGCCATCGTCTACCTCCGCTCAGACGCGTACGCAAAGGGATTTACGGGCAGCATACGAGCCTCGTACGGACGACTCAATGGCAAATGTAATCTAGGAATAAAGTCTAGAAAGTCTTCTGCCCATTACCTCAGACGGCACACTTCATGGTTTCAAATTAATGCTGACCGCTGCAATATGATGAAAATGTAGATAGTAGATTGAAGGACAAAAAACTAACAAGTCAAATAAAAATTAAACATTTAAAACGAAACTTTACAAAATAAAGAACAAACCGATAGCAAAGTAGGTGTTAGGACTTCTCTCAGGCTAGAGTCAAGTGCACAAGCAAGCGACTCTATTAAAATCATTTCACAAGTCTGGGGGTTTCCTTTGTGAACTAAGCACATGAAAGAAGCGCTTCAGTAAAATATTAAACCATGCTGGTGGCGCAAAGCAATTCCCTTCATATACCCTATAAATTTAGCATTAGCCTTATTATGTCATAGTGTTGGCAGATTTTTCATATACGTTGGAGGCTGAAAAGAAAATTCCAGGGCAGCCACTGAGCATATGAAATCACTAAGACATGGGTGAGCCATCCGTGCGAGAAAAGATGCCGTATTCAAAAAAGATACTAAAACTAATGGTGTTTTTGGTCTCATTATGTGTACTTTTTCTTGTCTCTGCTTTGATATGGTCTGCAATGCAGTCAAAACCAGGCGAGTTTAGATACGTGGCAGTTACTGGAAAAACAAAATCAAGCATGAATAGCAGTTCTCATGAGCATGAAGGCAGTAAAAGAACAGTTCCTAGAGGAGATGGGAACACCAAAGCAAATGGATCATATAAAAACGAAGAGATTTCGTTTTCAAAGTTTTCAACAATCAAATGCTCCAATTTACCCTTGGTGTCTCCAGATGTACCGCTAACCCAGCAGTGGATGCCTGTCATTCTCCCTTCAAACGATTCTCTGGATTATGTTTTCGCAGCAAACCTCTACAACAATGATGGCAGACGACGGGTGGTTGTTACATCCATGACTTCTAAAAACCACGTTCCATTTGTTTGTCAGATTTGGGCCCGGTCTNAACGAAGAAAGGGAAAACTTTGTGAAAAATGAACTTAAAAGCAGAAAAACTCACAATTTCGCCAATGGAGTGTCCGGAGCCAGCCTGACAGATGAACAACAAAAAGAAGTTGACAAAATTCTTCTCAACGCGAAAGCGAAAATATCATCAGTAGAAGAGGAAAATGAAAAGGTCAGTAAACGCGTATTTGTAACACGTTGGATCACCTCTTTCGTTTGTTGTGATGTCGTCAATAGACCATAACCTTGCTTTTAATTTCGTTGTAGTTACAGGACTCCATTAGAGAACTTCGACTCATTATTCACCGGAAGGATCAGGAGATAGAGAAACTTAAGAATGCCGGAATCCGACAGGATCGCCACCAGTCTTCCCATGACGATGAATATGTCAGTATCCTGCGAGAACAAATCCGCGCCGTGACCGAAGACTTTGAGGCCGAGAGACGAGACCGCGAGGAAGCGCATTCAAAAATTGTCGAACTTGAAAATCAACTGCGACAGTTGAAGGCCAATTGCCGGCGATAATTTAATGCATTATTTTTCCTTTGATGTAAAAATTGAATATACTGTATATAACTGCGAATGGTTTACATACTACTGTGTGCTTTATGGTTGTTCTAAACACATACTAGTAAGTAATATAGGTGTATAATCTGTATTTTTTCTTTTGAACATACGTCAAATGGTGTGGGTTTTTCTCCCAACCCCCAATTTTTCGACAATTGAACTGAACTTGCATTCTACTTTTATGTGTTTTAAATCTCATTTACTGTAAAACAAACTCCCAAAACCCCATCAAATGGTCTAGTGAGAAGGAGGGATTCACGTGCAACCCTGTGAAAAACAATGAAATAATTTTCTTAATCCTTTCTTAAACCTTGATATCTCGATATTTTATTCTTAGGTGTTCTCAGAGCGAAAAAAATCCCATGGGGGTTGATTTTAATGATATGTAACACCCTGTGGCTCAAATAAGAGCATTAAAAATGGGGGTAGGGAAAGAAAATCATCTATACATTGCAATTTAAAACTCTTAATAATAGCAACAGTTATTTTCTTTTTGAGAAGAAATACCACACCTATCTCATGATAAGTTTCCGGTATATTTATGAAGAATTGACTTACTGACCAAATGGCATTTTAGAAACTTTTTTCAAGCTAATTATTATTATTATTTTAAAAAAACAGCTCCAAAGAAACAATGCCAAAGATTCCTCAATACAGTTTCAAAAGAAAGCGAGTAAAGGGGACTGGAACTGAATGTCAAGAAAACCGAATGCATGGTTGTAGGCCTACATGTATCAAAGAAAAAACAAATACCCAAATGCAACATCAGTGGCAAAGGAGAAAAAATTAAACAAGTATACCGATTCAAATACTGCGGATTCATGTTTACATCAGATGCGAAATGCGACACAGACATTAAGAAACGTGTATCAATGTCAAAAGACACATCTAATAAGATGAGCCCAATACTAAAAAACAGAAAGATCTCCATCAACACAAAAAATAAGAACATTAAAATCCTACGTGTGGACGTCAGTACTCTTGCATGGTTGTGAATCTTGAAATATCCCTTACAAAACAAGAAATTGAAAGCTACCGAAATGTGGTGCCTATGAAGATTGTTGGGAATATCCTGGACAGAAAGAAAGACCAATGAAGAAGTGTTACTAAAGATGAAAACAATTAGAAAAAAATTAAACCTCTAGGCCATATCATCAGAAAAGACGGAATAGAAAAACTGGTACTCTGTGGGAAAATTGAGGGAAGAAGAAGTAGAGGAAGCTAGATTGATAGCCTTATTGCCTTCGCAACTAATCAGCAACTGTATAATAACGGGTTCATCTAATCAACTGAAAATAGTGTAAACTGGAGGATCAAGATCGTCGATGATTTCGACAAGGCCTGACACATGTTGATGATGATGATTCCATTTTCACTCTGAATTTTCAAATTTGCTTAATGCATTTAGATGTGTGAGCTACATGTATAACGAGATTATCTGAATTTTTAAATGTATTATACACATTTAAACACTTTAATATGCTTTTAGTTGTAAAAAAATTGAGTTACTTCTGGCTTTATTTTTTTGCCTAAGTCGAAACCAGCCTCTGTTTAATAAAGTAAATGTGCGATTGTCCATTGTATAAAGTTTATGTATATAAACGAAAAATATGGCATGGAATTATCGTTAGACGGGACGGTGTGACAAGTAGTCCTAAGCATAGAAGTCCAGGGTCCCATATGGTGAGTACAGGCTAGGGTGAGTACAGGCTCGGAGTATTGGGGTTTCTATATGGGACGAATGTCATCTGCATAACGTAGCTGGGAACGCACTACGGTACTTATCAGGCTTACATTCCTGTCACACCGGGCCTTCAGGCTGAGTAAGATATAGTCGAATTTCGGCTAATGCAAGATTTTACTTCAGAGGACTAGCCTACTGTGCTCTCCATATTTTTTGAGAATTACTAAACTAACTGTACATTGTCGAAATCTTCTTTTTTAGAACTTTCTATTACTAAAAATTTACAAAGTTAAAAGTATCAAAAGTGTTCCAATGCGCTATCAGCTTAAAGCTATATTTTCGGTCTCATACAGTCGCTATAGTCCTAATACTTTAAGTCGTTATTCGGCGGTTTAAATAAGTTAACCTACCGCATCATTTCAGGGTTTATTTTTCAGTTATTCTTTTCTAACCATCCCGGCCTCTTGGCACAGCAGTTTATTCGTCACAAATCGATTATAAATGCGCCTTAATTATGCCATAACGCTCAGGTATCTCAATTAAGTAACGCTCCTAGGGATCAGGGTGAGCCATTCAAGTTGTATGGGATGCCTTTTTCACATCTGCATTCTAACATATGGAAGAAGTTATCACACTACAACAGTAGGCAACGGCATTGTTAATTTCTTACGCAACGTTTTGTACCGTTTATTACGCTATCCCTTCCTGACGTCACAGAGCTTTCAAGCCCCTGGAAACAAACAATAGAGTGACGTCACACCTGGAGACAAACAAAAGCAACCTCAGGGATGGAGACGGCAGGAGACATGGTTTGCAGTTAAACTCAAGAATCTTTTTATATATTGGCAGTGTTTTTCGTGAAAACTTTGATAATGTTTCGCGAAACAATGCTTGGATTCTTGTTGTTTCACCTTGCCGCAGCAAGTTCTACCACTCCGGAGCCTGAGGTTCCAACGTGGAAATTGTTCAGCTCTTCGCTTGAGGATAAAATCGTTGCACCAATATCTTGTATTGCCATAATCATCCTAGGTAAGCATAACTGGTTTGATCGTAACTCGTTCATCCTGGGTTAATTTCGGTTAGCTTACAAGCAACACTGGTTTAGCTACGCACTGGTAGTGCCGCTGGTTTTCCAAATTCCTACATTTTACATAAGCCTATGCGTAAGCATATCAAAAATACAACAAGCAAATAACATACTACTATCACTTTCACTATAACTCACAATATGTTTTAAAATTCTGTTTTTAATTTAGGCATGCTGTACCTTTATCTGAAGACAAAAGCTCTTCATGCCCAAGATAAAACAAAACATACTGAAGCTGATCTCCACCCAGAGCGTGACAAGGACATAGAAAGTATGAAGAAACTCGGCACAGGAGATTTCGAACCCTTCCTCAATCCCTTCGACGTCGAGGCCGAAACCCGACTAAGATTGTATTCAAACAATGTGCAGGAACTTTTCACGCTCTCCTTCCCATGTATTTTTGTGGTGGCATGTTCTCCCTTCATGCTTTTGGTGCAGTCTTACATCGTCAGCTATATCTGGGATGATGTGGGAGTCAACTCCAAGTTCGTGAATGCCAACATCCCAATTCGATGCTTTTTAATGCCATCGGGTCTAGTGTACGCCATCATGTTTGGGTTTGTGTTTCAGTGTGTCACCAGGAAGCAATCGGCAGTCACTGACAGGTTTTTGTACCAGGTGAAACTCCTCTGGCAGATCGTGGCCATGACGACCAAGATCCATCTCTCAGACACAGACCGTCTAGATGTGGTTATCGCTGTGAAGGATGCCATTGTCCACATGATGGTCCGTATTGTCGACCGTCCTGTGGAGAAGTACATGAATCCGCCACCGGAGCATCTGACAGGTATCTTTAGCGATACAGCATCTGTGATCCATGATATCCTGAATGATGAAATATATATAATTGAAGACGGACGTTTATTAATCAATTTTATTCAATGACGGTATTGACATCACTCAATTTGTCAACAGACACGAGCATAAGTCAATAATTAATGCGTAGCGTGTTATATGATTCATTCTCATAATTGTGCGAGAGTCTGAATGAAAAATGTATTTTCTGTTCCTAAACTCTTAATTTATTTCTGCCCCTATCTCCTGTCATCCAAAACCATGTGTTAGAATTATGGACTCTAATTCTTTTCCCTATTTAAAGACTTTTTAAGAAATGAACATAACATATTTCAGACAGCCTGTACGCCATTCTTGATAAGATTCGGGAGGTCGACTTAACCGACAAGTCCGCCATGGTTGATACCACGATGATGCACAAGATCAGCAGCATTATTGTGGAGCTCATTGGGAGTGATTACGACAACTTCAACATCTTCCACGCTCGCACACACATCCTCCAGTCAGTATTGGTTAAATACAAAATTATGAAATACGTGCTAATCTATTAAATTTTTTTAAACTGTGTTGGCTAGACAGCAAAAAATATTGATTTTCATAAAATGCACGTGGCCGAAGATAAAAACTTATATGGCATTTAATATTATTCTCCCGTTATGATAAATTAAGCTAAAATTTGTGGCACAATTTGTTTATCATATTTAGTATGGGATTATACTTTCAATATTACGATTTTTCTCAAAATCTTGGTAATTAATTTAAATAGGGCATATGTGTAATAACTACTGTTACTTTGCAGATGGTTCATCCTGGAGTTTCTGGGTCTATCTGCGTACTTTGGCATCTTGCTGATTGACGGCAAATCATACATCTTCGAGCTGGTCGTGTCCTACATCACAGTAATCTCTATCTCCATGTTGTGCTACATCGTTGCTGATCTAGACGCCCCCTTCAGTGGCTTCTTCACAATCGACATCAAGCCTCTGTTTGACATTCTGAGGCGCGCAGAACAGGTGTACAACGACACGTGCGCTAGTGCCTCACAGGCGAGGAGAGAGAAGTATTTGAAGGCACAGAGCGCCCCCAAGAGCCGACCCCAGGCGATCCCACGCAAAACCCGCCCAAAGACCGTGGGCACAGAAGATGTATTTTTTGACCTGATGTCAGCAGATGGGTGAGACAGACATGGGTGGCTAGAGAGAACGAAACTGCACTTCTACGATAACTTTTAGTTACTTTTGACACATTTAACAAAAGAAATCTTAAAATTTTGATAACAGCCAACCATTAAAAACCCAAAGTATTTAACTTGATTACGGTATTTTCAACTTTGACATTTCACTACCACTCACCACTCATTGAATAGTTTAAATTAATCTTTAGAGTCCCAGAAGAAAACATATAGTAAAAACCATTTGCGTTACTCGTTTATTCATCAAAAAGCCTAAAGGGGACGCGAAAACAACATTGAATATGGTGAAAAAGATAGAGTCAATCCATAAATTACTAGTTTGATAATCATAACAGAAGACAGTAACTACATTTAAGTCCTGTTACAAAAGATACACAAGATATGCGAACGGGCATGGCTAGCGTGAACAACAACACGCAAAAAAACAAGAACATGTGTATGAGGGTTCGGTGGAAAGTCCACCGTTCAAAAGCACTGTCTACCTACATAATATAAGCAATTTCCTTTTTACATTCTCTCAATTGTTATCAAAATAACCTCTCATTGTCTGAAGCAATTTGACTTGCGCAGAAAACAATAAAAATCATTAAAACTGCCCCAGGTCAATAGTGTATTACAATTTACCGTTTATCACGAGCTATCAAAATAACAGATAATTATGTGTACGTGCTCAAAACCGTGTATTGAAATGAACAATACGTGCAAGGAATCATCAATTGATATCAAAAGAGACAAATACGTTCTGCAGATATAAAAAATCAATGATATTTTTGGGCATTTTGGATTAGAAACCCTGACCGTTTCGACGACTTATTGTGCCCTGAGAACATAGTAGGTTTAAAGAGAATGTGACAAAGGTGAAGGCCGTTTATACTAACCAGTGCTCGTTAAATATCCGACTGGAATCATACCGGTATTTATTGTACACAACATAATGGTTCGTTTTTGATGATTTTATTTGATGGCCTATTTCCGATGAGGTGCTGGAACATAAAAATGATTGCTAGGATATCGTTGTTTCTCCGTATAAAACTAAGCGAAACGATCGGTGTACATATTTATCAGTGGAAGAGGCCATCATGAAGACCGCTTGTTTCACAGTGCCAGGTATTGTTAGCGACCTTTCCAAATGTAATGTTTAAGCTGCAGAATGAATTTAATATTGCTGGTCAATTTCTAGTAGCGAGTAGCATAAGTAAAAATAATAAATAATAACAATATTAGGCAGGCAGGAAAAGATTTCGATGGTGTCATTTTATTAATTTTGTTGCACACATTAGGCCACGTTATAAAGTGCATGTGCAGGTACGTGCAAAGAAAAACAAACGCTCTTCTTTATTTTCAATATAAGAAAAACGAGATGTGGTTAGACGTGGAATGTAAACGTCTTTTTTCAGTTTTAATCCTGTTGATTGGTGTCCTTGACTTTTCCAAGGTAAGAGCAATTTCACAGCAATTTTTAACTGCATCCTCCACAATTATTTCATTCGTGTTGTAGTTTTGCTAAAAGAGGTGTGTCACAATCTACATAATCAGGATTTAATCTACTTGGCAGTGCCTTATACTATAATGCATTTATTTACGAAATATTACCTTACTGACCATAGGTGCTGAAATTCCAAAAAGATGCGATCTATAACTAGAATAATAGAAGTACAAAATCTAAATTTCACATTACATGCCAATTGCAATCTTGGAACATATAGAATTGGCATTGCAGGCACAGCAGGGTAGTATCCATGGCATTCCTGAGAGGTTCTTGTTTAAGTGCGAAGGTCGAGAGGATGGGATATACGCAGATATCGCAAGGAATTGTCAGGTGAGGTGCTAAGTATCCTGAATTTGAGGGCATCTTCTTTGTTCACTTTTAATTTAGTATCCTCTCGGTTCACTTCGAAGTATCGATGTTCACTCAAGCTCAAGATTTGATACAGCCTGAACGATGACCAAATATCTATAAGTAGTAGATTTTATTTTTTTCTCCCTTTCTTTCTTTCTTCTTCTGACTTTTTGCAAAGCCGTCGTATTAATCATTTAGAGTAAAGTGTTAACTTCAGTGACAACGTTTTCTTCGTTTGTTCCTCTCTGACTGTCACAAAATTTGTCTTGGTAAGAATGTTTAAGGAATTCTGATTTTATCTTCAATGATTCTTTAGTCGTCGCAAATTGAGAGTTAGCTTCCTCCAACCCATCCTCTCTATTCAACTTCTCCAGTGTCTCAATGCTCTGTAAAATCCTCGTGCCAATTTTCGTGATCGATGCAAAGAAAATGGCGCCAAATATAATAATCCCAACAGAGATGAGGATCAGTTCGATGGTTAAAGGTCGCACAATAGCGAAGGCGGCCACAAGAGCCACGGTATCCAACACGTAGATCAAGGCAGCAAGGACAAGGCGGTGGAAGTGACTGCCAATTACCGACCCGAACGGTGCGCCGACGATGACAACCGGCACTGTGACGGCCACATATTCCCAGCAGTCAATGGAGACGCCTCCAATGATGACAGCCCTCCAAAACAGTCCAACCACAGTGTTTCCCGCCATCAGGACGATGGAAGTGGGCGTGGCAGTTTTCTCGCTGACGCGGAACAGAAGGGTGAGGATACTGAAGCTGCAGATATCCAGTCCACTTCCGGCAAACGACGTAAACATCCCACCAGCAAAGCCTGTCAGAACCAACACCAATGCTTTCCACCAGTTAAACATTGGTATCTTCAGAAAAGTACGTCGCTTGTGGTTTATATTAAGGAAAAATAGAGCGAAGGCAAACGTGAACCAGATGCAGACAAATCCCAACTTTTTCTGAGGTGGGGTCAATAGCGGGCTCACGTATTCCAGGCCAATAATGATTCCCACAGCCCCCCCCTAGAGAGGAGAAAAGTATGGCGTGCCATTCCAAGTGGATTTGCATGTAGATGATGGTGAATGCTGCCGCCGGGAGTCCAACAGACTGGATGGCCATGGAGAAGTCTCTGGCCACGATGGGGGAGATTTTAAACGCCAAGGTCATCACAGGGAACGCTACGGCCCCTCCAGCCTCACTGGTCATTCCTGGTAAAAAGAAACAGAAAAACCTTGACGAGATATGCATTTAAAAGAAGATATAGAGGAATATATTATTTTTCTAATAATTTATTAATTCAACCGATCAATTGTACCTAAAAAACTAGACCCGCTATTAGAGTCCATGCCTACAAACGCTTCGAAGATTCTGGAAGTGATGTCAGTACACATGAATAGGCCCTACGCCTGTCCACCTAGGGCTTTATTTTTTATTTTGATTCATTTTGAGAATTACACTACCTGCAACTAAAGAGCCCAACACCATGGTTATGGTCATGAAGTATTTATCCGTGAAAAGCCCCCAAAAGTTGTATCTGATCATAATAGACAGCCACGCAAACATGATGACAGACACTGGGATAGCGAACGCAACGATGCGTCTGTGCTTCACCATGAACTTCTTGTACCATTTTGCATCTGGAGAGAGACTTCTCAGAGCCTCTTTTTGGGCTGGCAGAAGATGCTGGCCTGGTAAATAAATAAATAAATAAACAATTGATTTTTGGTTGAATATGCCTAATATTTTGTTAGGGAAATATGATGTTTTGATTGACATACCAGTACCAAGGGTATACCCTATCAAGTCCTATAGTAAGCAAAATATACATGAAGATTGCCATTTCAAATGAAATGTTCTAAGATTGATAAACTTTGTCTTCGAAAATTTGATTCAGATTTTCCCTTGCTTTGGAACTCCTCAAATGATGCACATATGTCCCTAATTATTATAATTGTTTTGTTCTTATATAGTTTCTTTAAGTTAGTTAACTGTGTTCCATTTTTTTAAATTTGAGAACAATCTTACATTTTTTTCTACTTTAAACATAATATTGCTTATACCTTCCCAAAAATATTTTTTAAGAAAGACTTTTAAATCAAAAGGGCGTTTCCGGACACAGCATCCACGATTTGATGACGTCGTGTTATCGTCTGCGGTAGACATCAATAAAATGTTCTGAAAGTAAACAGGCTTTCAGTTATTTTATCGTCATTGTCATCATTAATTGTCTTGTCACCTTTACAGGACTTCATATATGAGCGTGTTCCGGCTATGTAAAACATGTATGTTACACATTACTAAAATGGATTCTTTTTCTTAGGGATAACTTAAATTCATGTAATATTATATAATGACTTAAACCACTTTTTGCTAAAACATACGTATTTAGTCGTTGAAAAAAGGACATTTAAATAGCTTTTATTTTTATCGAATCTTTTGCAACCGACATTTTCATTCGGCTCTTTGACGTCTGCGGCGATCTGTTCTTCCTCATCCATCGTAGTATTTTGTGCCTAGATATTTCATACGCAACCCGGTTTGTTGACCCAGTGCTCCAGGTGTATCTAACAAAAGAATGCAGCATATTAAAGTACAAATGTACATGTGAAAATCGAGACTCGTGAAGGTACACTAACAAAACGGTTATTCATGCATGGATAAAAAATGCATCGAATAACCTAAGTAGTAAATGTGTCTGTAGATTATTCGTTTCGTTCAAAAGATACGCCATTCTAGTTATGTTACGTGAACAAAGAACGGGCGTAAGAAGAGAATTGCCTGAGAATATTAGCACGCATTTTCTTTCATGGTTCAAGCAACTCAAAACAGAACATGTGAAATTCTTTTTTCATATATATTGTTTAGACCGAAAAAAAACGAACATCTTACTTGTCAGAGTTTGGATTGGATCACTATTGGGGCCGTTGTTGAAAGTGCTTTTATCTTTGTTTGCAATGTAAAATAATGATAAATATCTTTATAACACAAGGTCGTGGCTCAAGTCCTTTAAAAGGTTAAAAGTAAAATGAATGGCTACCTCTAGCATCAATTGTTAGGTCGTCTACTCGATGATGATCAAGAGGCTAAACACCCGTTCTTAAATCATAGAATTAAAAAACGCGAACACAAGACGAATTGATAGAAATAAAGCTTCATTTAACAAAGCGAAAATTCTTTACTCACCCGCTTTTTTCTCTAGACAGGAAAGGCTAGAGAGTCGGCAAAGATGTGGGTTCGGTTGATCAAACTGTTAAGGGCACGGTGGGTACTACCTCAAAAGCAGCCATTCAGGCGGTAGCCATAGCAATTTGAAATTGAGTCCGCTAGCGCATGCGGCCTCACCGTGAAAGGCAGAACTAGGGGATGTGGAGTACGTGCTCTCATCGTGTGCCTTTAGTGTCTCCTAATTCGTCTCAAAGCTCTTGGGTTGGAAACCAACTCAAGACGCCATTCACTCTCATCTCTCCTCTCCCTACCCTACTTTTTTCCTAACCCACTGACACCCTACTTACAGTTAGATACAATTAAAAAAAACTTATGAATCAAACAGGAAATCATTCGTAGCTTGTTAAGTATAATTAAGGATTAAACTTTCTGTAATTATACAATTAAAGTAACAGTAGGAAAAATCAACAAAATGTTTGGGTTTTTTTAGGTTAAAAAATCTTTATATAACTTATACGACAAAATTTTTTTCTAAAAATGAATATTAAGAATTTAAGGCAGTAATGTTTTTTTCCGTCAAATTTGTCAAAACCGTGCACCAGATCAAAAATGGAATTTTAAGGAAAGATTTTACAAATAAATACAAAATAGTGACAATTCATCTGTAAATAAAAGAAACAAACAACTGTGTGTCAGTTGCCAATTTTATTCTTTGAGCGGCTTGTGCTTACGTGTCACCGTCATATACAGACTTGACATTTAATATGGAATATTTCAGTTTCGAAGGTATACCTAGGTAAAAATGCGTTCTTTTTTCAAAAAACTCCGATCTCGTATAAGATTTGTGAATGGAGAACTGTGTAGTCAGGTGTGTCGCTACCAATTAACTGACTTTCATGTCTGTTGCGCTGCTACATTATGTAATATGCAGTGATTTAATTGGGTAGTGTTCCTTTGGGCTGGTCAATGCTTGGCTTAGGCAAAGCTTGGTTCTGTCAAAAAAGTATCCATATGTCGACAACTACTGCATAGAAGAATTTGAAATTTTGCATGCAAGCGGTCAGTTTTGCAGTGCGGAAGGTAAGTCAAGTAGTGCATTACAAATTTTTTAATCTATGGCAGAATGGCGCAAAAAAGACAGACATTACCAGACAGATCATAGCGCCAAACAGAACGGTCCCCACAGTTTTATAGAGTAATGCCCAGACTGATGTTCCTACACAGAGGTCACCCCCAGTGTATCAAAATCTTACCTACAGGGCACAGGACCGCCGTCTTTCGGGATACGCTGCTGCAACTAAACAAAAAAAAACACTCAGAACGAGGGGTAAATTGCCACCAAAATGCGTTTTTCAAAGCCCTTAGCGAACACCAAACTGGGTTTAGCAGGTAAAAACACTAAACGACCTCCGAGGCACCCACTGTAAACAGCAAAACATCGTCGTCTGTTTCTCTAATGAATTGGGGGCCATGACCGTTTCTGGGTAGAACACTGAAACTGCATGGCTTTATTTATTGAGGTCAGATTTCACCTGTTCCGCCCAATTAGTCAAAACAGAGTTTACAGATATCCAGAAGAGGCCTACGACGAAGCATATGCCGGATCTAAAGTGAAAAGGGTGATTGACAGCGTCAGTATTTGGAGTGGATACCACATTGGTGCCAAAACACCAATGGTAGTCATCGACGAAAACCTGAACCAGATCAAATTAAGGAATAATCTCGGAACCACTTGACTATCATTTGATAAGGGGCACCTTAGGAACAATTTTAGGTTGCACGGTGAGGTTGCAGGTTCACACAGAGCACTTTTAATAGCAGATAACTTACAGAACCAAGGGAATGGGCCGCTACCCTAGTCATCAAAATCGCAACATATGAACTACATAGACAATATTTCGGTAGGCCATTACTCGCCGAATCAACTGCCTACATGTCATACAACAAAACTGGACCAGATTGAATACTTTTAGACCGATGCCTGGAATATTATTCCAGATTGAACTCTAAAAACCTACCCCAAGGAATGCCTTGCCGCTTGAGAGCGCTGGCAACAGCCAGAAGAGGCCAGGCGTAACAGCGACCATTACTGTGACTATAGCAACTGACATGAGGGTCTTTTGTGGAGCGTATAACTCTTTTACAGACGATAATTTGGAAAATATGGAGATCCAAAATATCTCTTTTAATGGAAGTCGTATGACATAGAATAGGCAATGTGTTTTTGTTTGCTTCTCTGGCGAATTTCATTAATGAATTGATATCACAATGACATCAAAGAGATAATTTTAAGTTATTAAAACACGATTTTAATCCTTATTTTCATTTATCAGTCAGCAAAATAGGAAAAAAACTGATAAAAAATTACTTGGAAAAAATAGTCCATATTAAATGTCAAGTCTGTATTATCAAGATCAACAGAGACATACGAAGAAGAAAGTACATCGGCTCTTGTTGAACGCGTTATCGGCAAAATAAAAAGTTATTTATTTCTGAACTCAGTGACAAGAGAATTGGAAAATTTAATGGACATATATTGTTATTTGCCAAAATATATATATATATATATATATATACAGAAAGGCCTTTCTGTAAGCTACACGTGCATAATACATGTATGGTAAAGACAAAATGGATAATAAAAATAATCTAACAACGTATTTGTAAAGTAATACAAATATGCTTAGTATTAAAGTAGGCCTACATATATTTAACTGTCTTAGATAGTTGAAAAGTTAGAAATGTGTGGAAAACACTTTATTTGAATGATTTTATTGTTTTTGATTGAAAACGATGAAAATACGCATGAAAACATTTAAAAATCAAATAATTTGGCCTCTTGCTATAATTTTTTTGCCTGACGGTTTTGATTCAGTTTGACAAAATTTTCATACTTGTCAGACCGAAATTTTGTACATATACCAGAGTAAGACACGGTAAACTTTAATTATCGTCTTAAAATTAGAAGGTTTTAATTACAGAGGAAAGGTCGTAGTTGTGGCCGCCCCCCTTACCGAACAACTGAACAAGTAACACCTGATGCCTTATCAGGTACCAAACGATTTAATCAGTTCACCGACGAACGATCTGTTTGTCAGTTTTACCTGTATACACAGCTCATGTAGGTATGAGTCAAACAATGCAGGGAATCTTTTCATTTTATCATTTCAAAAATCTCTTAAGACATCCCTCAAACAAGACATAAAAATCGTAATGAATTGATACTGCCGGTAAATGAGGTGATATCGCCACAGCTTGCATATATACATGTAATATTGTGAAAACGTAGGCTTACGCACCTGTCCACACTCTTGAAAGCTGTGTACGAGTCTACTGGCTATTTTGATTTTACATATAAAAAATAACGAGTCTCTTTCGCATATCTTTATTATCGGAAGCATTTAAAAGAACTCTGAAGCTTTAGTTCGTCATCACTATTGAAAGTGCAGCCAAGGCGCGGCCGCTTAGGTGAAGTCTAGTTGTACAGCGCATCGTATTTAAACTGAGAAAGAAAACATTTAATTGCTTGATTCTCCGTCCAAAAAGCTGTTTTCTTGCCTACAGTTTACGCATTTCTGTGCTTCAGCCACCTTTTTAGTTTGACAAAAAGCAGTGCACGCTTCAAACGACCTTTTTATATGCGCACCTTGTACATCATCTACACCTAGCATTGCCATGCTGGAAACAGCAGAGGACTACCATGAGCCCTGTGGCGCGCGGTTCCTGTCATGCGCACTTCGTATTTCCGCAAAAGATGAAAAAGGTCTATAGACAAGTGGAGATTTGTATATGCGCGCACATAGCATTGGCTTGACGTCAGCTCATTTGCATTGTAATTCTGTTTTGCCCTATAATTATCTCATCAGACTGTATGCATTATTACGCAAGAAAATGATCCATTAGTTGTTGTGTGACAAATAACACACAGGAGGCAGCAGGTACATTTATTACTGTTCTTTTGTAATATTAAAACCACACTGGCCAATGTCTTTAAGTCTCCGAAATCTTATGAGAATTTACCTTGAAAACTTTATACTGCAGTGTTGGCAAACAATCGCACCGCATGTTTTTCGTGTACGCTGAAGGCTGAAAAGAAAATTCCGGGGAAAAAGTTAGGCATGTGAAATCAGGTACACTTGCGACAGCCATCCTTGCAAGAATAGATGTCGCATTCAAATAAGATACTAAAGATGTTTACGTTTTTGGTCTCATTGTGTGCACTTTCTCTTGTCTCTGCTTTGATGTGGTCTGCAATGCAGTCAAAACCAGGCTAGTTTAGATACGTGGCAGTCAGAGGAAAAACAGAATCAAACATGTATATAAGTTTTCATGAGCATGAAGGCAGTAAAAGAACAGTTCCTAGAGGAGATGGCAACACCACAGCAAATGGATCATATAAAAGTGAAGAGATTTCGTTTTCAAAGTTTTCAACAATCAAATGCTCCAGTTTACCCGTAGTGTTTCCAGATGTACCGCTAACCCAGCAGTGGATGCTTGTCATTCTCCCTTCAATCGATTCGCTAGATTATGTTTTCTCAGAATACTTCTACACCAATGATGGCAGACGACAGGTGGAAGTTACATCCATGACTTCCGAAAACCACGTTCCATTTGTTTGTCAGATTTGGGCCCGATCTAAAGGTTCGGAAGGCAAAGTAACTCACCGGATTACACCCTGCTCGGGAAGAGCAGTCATGACTCCTGGGTTGTGAGTACATCTTACAATGTAATAGCATCAAAGCGAGTAAATGTCTCTCATTGCTTTCAAAGACACATTACCGATNGTCTGGTAGTTGGGTAGGCCTGAATAAGTTTTTTTATGTTTAAGTTAAAATGACTTAGCCTTACGATGAGATTTCATAACATGGATTTTCGAAAGTCTTAGGCCCGATGTGGTTCTAGCGCCATGTGGTCTAATAAAGTGACGTCTGCATTATTCTATTTCCAGTCCATGGAAATCAATATATACATAAAGAGTCGTGGATAAATTGAAATTGCTGTCTAGTGCTCCACCATATTGTCTCTTCACAACGATAAGATATAGAAATAAATAAAATAGCTACTGTCTGGTGTTGAGTGATGCACCATGTTTACATATATACAGTGAAGCACTATACTTTCGTTGACAAGACAATTACATATAACAAAGATCTGCAGATCATTCCCTTTGACTTCCAGAAACAATTAGATAGAGCTATTTCGTATTAAATATATAAAAGTCATTCCTAATGACCTACAGATTAATTAAACGTTAATGTTTATTTCTCCAGGTGTACCGTATTTGTATTGGCGGCGAACTTCTGACTTCTGAAGCAGGTTTCGACATGTTTCCTTGTCCACAGGGAACGCTGTTCGACCAAAACACTTTGACCTGTCAGCACGCAGCTAATGTGATATGTCCACAGGAGTAATGGGCGGAGTCTCTCGAAATGGTTTTCAAATCTTATAGATGAAAATATAGGAGATGTGTAATAATAATAATAATAACAATGTCACCGCAAAGAACAATTTCCCTGTCGTTAATGACTCAAAAACTTGAAGGCTGACAATTTTACAAAATACCCTTCAGACATAAATGTTTTATTAGCACGATTAGTGTGTATTAACCATAAGCCTTTATGCGTGTGTGTGTGTGTGTGTGTGTGTGTGTGTGTGTGTTTGTGAGATGAATTTTGATAGAAGTTGGGGCCAAATATTATGTCCGCTATTTTTCTGAACATTTCGACTACTTCGTGCATCAAACTGTCAGTTTTTGCTGAATGTCTCCTCTCTTTTTCTAAGCCTTTATGTCCATCTTTTAGTCATTCACCTGTAGAACTTTCACTTTTAGCATGACAGGAAATTCAAGTTCACAATTTCGTGTTTTCCTCTTTGTATGCACTCCCTGTATTTGTTTCCCTTTGCACGCCCGCTTTTAAAGACTTACTAATATCTGTATGAAATATTTCTATTTCGGCTTTGGCATTTTCTTCTATTGGTGTCGAAATATCTGTGCTATTTTCTTTCATCCCAGAATTTTCACGAAATGCATTCGATGCCTCAAATCGCTCTAATATCAGCCCGCCGATTTTGGTAACTGAAGCAAAGAAAACGGCACCAAATATAACAATCCCAACAGAGATGAGGATCAGTTCGGTGGTTAAAGGTCGCACAATAGCGAAGGCAGCCACCAGAGCCACGGTATCCAACACGTAGATCAAGGCAGCAAGGACAAGGCGGTGGAAGTGACTGCCAATCACCGACCCGAACGGTGCGCCGACGATGACAACAGGTACTGTGACGGCCACATATTCCCAGCAATCAGTGGACACGCCTCCGATGATGACAGCCCTCCAAAACAGTCCAACCACAGTGTTTCCCGCCATCAGGACGATGGAGGTGGGCGTGGCAGTTTTCTCGCTGACGCGGAACAGAAGAGTGAGGATACTGAAGCTGCAGATATCCAATCCACTTCCGGCAAACGACGTAAACATTCCACCAGCAAAGCCTGTCAGAACCAACACCAAGGCTTTCCACCAGTTAAACATTGGTATCTTAAGAAAAGTACGTCGCTTGTGGTTTATATTAAGGAAAAATAGAGCGAAGGCAAACGTGAACCAGATGCAGACAAATCCCAACTTTTTCTGAGGTGGGGTCAATAGCGGGCTCACGTATTCCAGGCCAATAATGATTCCTACAGCGCCCCCTAGAGAGGAGAAAAGTATGGCGTGCCATTCCAAGTGGATTTGCATGTAGATGATGGTGAATGCTGCTGCCGGGAGTCCAACAGACTGGATGGCCATGGAGAAGTCTCTGGCAACGATAGGAGAGATTTTAAACGCCAGGGTCATCACAGGGAAGGCCACGGCGCCTCCAGCCTCACTGGTCATTCCTGGTAAACAGAAACAAAAAATCTGGTTTCGTGAATGCCTACATTCTTTAAGAAAATGAAAAAATCCATGGAAAAGATAAAGACCAATTCTATCTTGCTACATATTTATCAGATATTGCTTGCTTTTGAACATTACTGTATTTTTGCACAGCGTCTGGTGTGTGCAACTTTACCTGCAACTAAAGAGCCCAATACCATGGTTATGGTCATGAAGTATTTATCTGTGAAAAGGCCCCAAAAGTTGTATCTGATCATAATAGACAGCCACGCAAACATGATGATGGTGACTGGGATGGCAAACGCAACGATGCGTCTGTACCGTACCATAAAGATTTTGTACCACACGGCGTCCGGAGGGAGATTCCTTTGAGCCTCCTCTTGGGCTGGAAGCAAATGCTGACCTAAAAAATAAAAAAAGGTTTATTAAAGAAAACAATGGTTAAATGCGTTTTGTTGCTTTATGTTACAAGTGAACCCATGTCGCAAATATGAATAATCTTGTAGTATAAATCTATTCGATCCGGTGTAACGTGGTAGTGTCCCCCATGATAGAGAGTCTGCTTCCCATTCATTTGAACAGTTAAGCCTCGCCCTAGATTTTGACCCACTTAGGTCAGGCATTCTCTAACCATTTTTACTAAATGGAGGGCGGACTTTCTGTTACACAGACCCTCAGTTTCGTTTCACCGGCGTTACTGTTTACGTTTTAGGCTTGCTTTGTAGCACATTTGTTTTCGGCTGTAAATGCCATTTTACATGTGTTTTTCTGATCTGAAATGCATTTTCACAATATTACTAAAAATAAAACTGTATTTTTGAAAGCCTTGAAACGAACGAAAAGGTAAATTCTACTCGGCCAATCTTCGGTTGTTTTCTGCGCATTGTAGTCATTTGAGAAGTTGACGGGTGATACCTTCTCTTTAACCCCGGAAGTGAAAATGAGTAAAAATGACTAGAAATTGACATTTTCTCTATCTTTAAGCTACAGAAAGTGATGCTTTGCTTTTAATTGCTTAGGCATTTTACTTTGTGAAATAAGTACTATTGAGACAAAATATTACCTTCGCAAAAGTATTTCTTTAGAAACACTTTTAAATTAAAAGGGCGTTTCCGGACACAGCATTTAGAAATTGATGACGTCATACTGTCGCCTGCCGGAGAGAAGTGAAATGCTCCCTGAAGTGCAAAAGGGATTTTGCTTTAAATTTATTGCACGCATCTTCATTTGGTACCTTCTGCTGCATGTCACCGTCATGTACTTATGTGTAAAGTTTACGGAAACCGTAGGAAATCGTTGCAATTCTTCCTGATACTTTATCTATTAAGGTGTCATCGTCGTTTATCACACCAAAAGTTGGGTCAAGTAACGTAACTCTGTTCAATTATTCTTTAAATAAGTGGGCAGTTCTCGTTACAGCTACACTTTTTTTGTTTTAAGGCTTTAATGCAGCGAAGGGGACGATATACACATTTCTTTAAAACCAGGAAAAAAACACTCGGCATTGTGTTAATCGCTATCTTTCACAGACATGACAACTTTTTTCTAGTTTAACGAAATCCTTGTTTAAATTAACTAAAGGCAAAACCAAGGAGTCTGTTATAACTCCTTGGCAAAACCTAGTATAGAGATACAAATTGCAATTTGGCTCAAAACACTGAAATAAGGATTAAACGTGAAAGATTGAAGGAAAGATTTGCTTAAACCTCGGATGCCCCCTGATGGTAATGTGCTTATCTCACTTTAAAAGTACGTGGCAACATTAAGTCATATAATGAACATGATTTGAATGTAAAAAGGACGAGAGTTACTAATGTTATCCTTAACCCGGTTAAAGGACAAATTCATGCGAAGATAATCTTACATAAAAAAAAACTGAACAAAAAGACAAGCAGCAACACGGTTTGCATTTCTGACAAAACTTACAGTTTCTGAGACAAGGATGCATTTTTTAAAAAATGAACGAAAAAATGAATGATATTAGAATACCACAGTAGCAGCTGAAGTGGTATTAATACCTTCACCCTGATGCATAATTGCACGACTCGTCTGGTAATAACTGCAATAAAGTCAAACCCAGATATTATCCAAGCCAACACATTAAAATCTCTTACCAAGTGTCTATACAGTTATAACCTGCTTTCTTCTAATTCTGAGCTCGGAGTGTCACCCAGGGATGTGTCTGTCTTTGAATTAATAATCAGATGCAGCCGTGTACATTTGGACTGGTAATAAAATTCCGATACATTACGTCTACAGACGAATCGCGTGTGATAATTAATGCATTAATTCACGCGGTGTCTTAATGTACCGTGTAGCTTTACATTGGTTTTTAATTGCTTTCGTGAATGAGAACGCTTACACTATGTTACACCTGTATTCATGATGTGTAGAAATTTATTACTTTTTTCAAGAAACATTTCATGATACCAAAAATTTCCCCAGTGTTGGCAAGGCTAGTGATGTCACCGGCCAAGAATGTATAAAACTTCCCTGTACTAGCAGACAGATGGAAAATCTAACTTAATGCTTTAATTATTTTGACGAAATGCAGTGCAGTATCAAAATGTTATATGGGGTTTATTTGGGGTGTGCACTTTGTTTTTTATGTCTCCTCCATCCCAAATACAGGCTGTGTACCACAAACTTTCATAGTACTATTCATAACAAGAAAGAAGGCAACGAAGAATATCGATTGTACGAGATTTGGCCAAACAAGGCCGCTTTTATTACATTACTCCACTATCCTAATCGTTGTTTATGTAACAAATTGTTACAAATTGTTGCCTGTATTAAATTTTATGGCCTAAGGGCTAAAAAATATATATCAATATACAATAAGCTCCTAAAAATTATGATGTGACGGGTCAGCAAAAGTTATTATTTACAAACAATTCTGCACAAATTTCGTGTACATTGGCTATCATTTAAAAGTCATGTACTGGTACTTTTTAAACTTATGAATGATCACTGTGTATGAGAAACATCATTGACATGGCTAAGCGATCTTTTATTTGTGAAGTAATTTGAAATTTATAATGAATGAATGCCTGTTGAACGCACACACCAAACAAAAAGTAACATATAAACAGCTTAAAATAGATATTGGAAAAAAAAAAACGATAAAAGGACAGCAGGGCGATGATGCGGAGTTGGTGAGTCACAACTTCTGTGTACAGTAAACAATTTCACTTTTGAAAAATAAGAAAAAGAATGATAGAAGAATTGATTAAAAAACAGTAAAGTTAGTAAGATATGATGCATTTGCATCAGATTGACCAAAATTAGTATGAAGTGGTAGAATATTTCTTGTCAAAATAAGGTGAGTAATTTACAAGCATCACGTGGTTAAACATGTCACTCGCCACAATAACTTCAAAAATTATAACACATAATAATCCCCAAAATATGGGCATGGAAATTCTTGTAAAAAGGCAACAGACAAACTAAATTGAAATTCAAGGAATCAAACGAAACTAAAAGGTATGCTATGAGGGATTTGCGCGCCACATCTAATTATCCTTTAAAAAAAGCATTTCTTCTACTTACAAACTACTGCGCACCCCATACCTCTATTTAAGTTTTCTACCAATTCTAATACAACTTAGTTCTAAACGAGCCATGATTGATTTATACCTATACCGTCTACCTGACATTCCAGAAGGAACTACCGGCATCAGGTGCTTTGAGGTTTTTAAGATCTGACTTGTGACAATAAGCATTGCAGGATAAAAAGCCATAAAAATGTAAGACTTTGGGACATACCAGACGCGTATAATTATAGTTATGATACTGAAAACACATTAATTAGTGTGCAACGATTTGGAATGCATGGGTATTGCAAATTTAACTTTGGATATGTTATCGTCTTGAGTAGAATATATCTTGCCAATTGCTCTCCTTGTAACTATATTCTTTTTACAAAGAAAAAAAAAATTTATTCTTGCGCTAGGAAAAACAGGGTTTCACCAGACCTTTAATAACCATCTGTTTTAGATTTGTTATTGAAAATGTTCTTGTTTCATTTAATACTGTATCAATGATTCAGTCGGTCCTCTGTTGCTGTTGTCTCCACAGCTTCTGCTTCAACGTGCTTGTCTTTGATCAACCGTCCACAACAGTGTTGCCTTGGTGATAGAGTTGAAAATTGCTTCTCGAGTTCTGAAGATTTAAAATAATGTCGGTTGTCCATCAATTGTGGAGGGAAAGTTTAAAATTGTGTTCATGCTGATTCTTATCACAGAGGCGAACTTCTTGTTGAAATAAAACATTGCGGATAAGGCACCAAGTAGTAATTTACACAAATAATCGGACTTTCAATTTATTCTAGTCGACGACCTTAAATTTATATTATTTTCTGTAAATGAGAAAAAGTAACCAACATCATCGCCTCATGTTTGTTGTGATCATTAACATTTCACTTTACTCACCCTTAACTGTCGAAGTTGGATTTCAAGTTCTAGAATTTTTGAATGCGCCTCCTCGCGGTCTCGTCTCTCGGCCTCAAAGTCTTCGGTCACGGCGCGGATTTGCTCCTTCAACATATTGACATAGTCATCGACGTTAGAATGGTTAGAAGACCGGTGGCTATCCTGGTTCCTGGCAGCGCTCTTTTTCAGGTTTTCTATTTCTTGATTTTTCTGATGAATGGTAAGACGAAGATCGCGGATGGAATCTTGTAGCTGAAAGTTAGTGAAAGATGCTATAGAGTTACTTTACAGTTACTGCGTAGTTAGAGGACAAGGGAAATGTACGAATACTTTAGAGGACTGATGATTAAAACCAAGTTTTTTTTCTGCGGGTGCTAATCAAGGGCACCGTTATATTTGCAAATTTTCATTTTGATTTCAAACAACGAGAGCCATGTTATTTGAAGCCATCTTCTTGATTTTAGTTGATTTAAAAAATTATGATCCCTGCTCATACACGTTTAAATATTCTACGTTTAAATATTCTCATTCTGTCTCGAAACAATTAAAACCACATGTATGTACCGTACCTCAACCATTCGAAAGCATCCAACATTACGTTTGTAGTAGCATTTTCTATCTATTTAGTTTAATACCCATAAATATGTAGAGAAAAGGTTGACCATAAATACCTGTTCCTTCTCTTTTTCTATCGATGAAGTTTTCGCCTTAGCATTGAGCAGTATTTTGTCAACTTCTTTTTGCTGTGCCTCTGTCAACACGTCAGCGGGCTCTCTGCTGGCGCATGCGCACTTTTGCGTTTGTTTGCTCTCAAGCGCATTTTGCAAACTGATCACATAGTTGTCCCTCTCTACGTTATATTTTTGCCAATGAAGGTTAGCATCGATAACCTAAATTCATAAAAAAAGGTTGTCATCATGTTATCAGAGGCGTCCTGGTATAATTTATCTATGCTACAAGAGATTATCATGAATCAAAATTATTTCTTGGTCATCAGGATATGAATAAGCGCTCGTTGATTCAAAACATGATTAATAAAAAGATAATTGCAATTTTTGAAGCATGAACTAAAATATTATCCACTTATTCCGTCTGGAGAGCGAATAAACATTGATGAACAAGGCAAACCTACTGTAGTATCAAAAACCTCCATGGTAATGTTCAGTGGACTGCCCATATACATATATACTGGTACATGCAGTAACAATTACCCTCCAAATAAAAATGCCAGTTATTCACAGAATCAACCTACCTCTCCTAGCTGTTGTTTCAGTTGTTGATTCTCAGATTTTAATTTGTTATGTTCTGATGATTTAGGTCGCTGCAACAAAAAACATTTTGATGTTTAAACATTAAAAAAAAAAAACCCGCGCTCTTCTGTATGTATTTTTCAGATGGATTCAGCAGCCCCCTGCACATGTACAACGACCTGCCAACCACACCGCACCAGGCATTAACAAAACTCAGTGCAAAATTTGGTCGAACAACCATAGATGAAAATTTTGCCTTTATAATGAATTAATGAACCAAGTGAACGAAACTCTGATTGCATTTGTTCAGGACCTCACCAATGCCCTGGCTTAGAAAGATCTAGAAGACAGTGCTGCATTTACTGGCAACTGAGTAATAAGAGTCGCTTGAGCTCATTATTTTGTATGAGTGATCATAGCATATCATATTGTTGCTTCATAGTATACTTATTCAGGCCCGTAGCCGGGGAGGGGAGGGGGGTACGGGGGGGTTCGAAAGAACCGCCCTTTTTGCTGGGAAAAGGTCCACTATGGATAAAATTTGATCTAGGTACATGAAGGTTTTCAGAAAAAGAACCCCCCCATTTGAAATTGCTGGCTACGGGCCTGTTATTTATAATTTCATTTCTATTAGGTATTTTCATTTACCTACGTAGAGGTATAGGCTGCAATAAATAAGACAAAGCATTAAAAGCTCGCCTAAATGGCGGAAGACGATGTACTAAATATATTCTTTTTGATGTCGCCAAGTAGGCGAAAAAATGAATTAGGACACTTTCAACATACCTGGCAAAGACTTTTAGAATCTAATTGTTCCGCCAATTTTAGACACAATTCAGCGGTTTTTGAAAGTTGTTGTTTTGACGTCTCGAAATCAAAATTCTGGTTCTGATTGTCTTCTTTCCTTTTTCTTTCCATTTCTTGTTCTCTAGCTATTATCTCTTTTCTATTAAAAAGGTCGCCTGTAAGTTCCTAAAACGAAACATAACTATTGTCAACAAAGAATCCTATATGGTCGACAGTAGTTACAAATTCCTACGGTTGACAGAAGTAATAAAATCCTACATGTACGGTCGACAGTAACAAAACAATTAAGGATTTGTTAGACCTTGTAAGTAGGTTACACACGTGCAGTAAGAAAAAAGGGTTTGTAAATGAATATGACGATGATACATTGGCAAACCGAAAGTAGAGAATGCGTTAGAAAACAAAATAATGACTTTTTCCATTTTACAAATTGGTGAATTTCACATGGATTAATTCGACGAGCTTCAGCTACGTGCATTTATAAATGTCATCATCATCATCATCATCATTTAGAGCCTATAGTGTTCCACTGTTGGACAAAGGCCTCAGCATGCTTTTTCCATTGTTTCCTATCCTGAGCCTCAGATTTCCAGTTTGGCCAAGGTTTCTTCTTTCAAGACTTCCAGTAGTCATCTAATTCATCCCTCCATCGTTTGACCAGCCTTCCTCTTTTTCTTTGTCCATACCTTGGGGTCCATTCTGTAAGCCTGATTGTCCACCTACTGTCCTTCATTCTTTTGACATGTCCTGCCCACCTCCATTTCATTTCTTTAACTGTGAGCAGTACGTCCTTAACTTTGGTCTGTTCACGTAACCATACATTCGTTTTCCGCTCTCTTGGATTGATGTTCAACATAATTCTTTCCATCTTTCTCTGAGCTACTTGTAGCTTGTGTTCCATGGAGGCATTCAGTGCCCAGGTCTCTGAACCATAGGTGATTGCCGGCAGCACACAAGCATTGAACACTTTCTTTTTCAGGCAGGTAGGAAGGTTGCTCTTGAAGATGTCATTGTGTTTCCCATATGCTGCCCATCCTGCTTTTATCCTTCGTTGGATTTCTTTCTCCAGTGTTCGATCACTAAGGCTGAACCGTTGCCCAAGGTATATATACTCTTCTACTGCTTCTATCTCTTTGGTGTTGACCTTCACTGTGCAAGGGGTGGTTAGTGGTCCAAACATCACCTTTGTCTTGCTGGTGTTCATCTTTAGCCCACTTTTTGCGCTTTCATCTGCTAACGCCTGTAGCATTTCTTCGAGGTCTTTTGCATCATCTGCTACTATTATGATGTCGTCTGCAAACCTAAGGTGATTGAGCCTGGTACCGTCTATGTTTATGCCCTTGTCCTGCCAGTCTAGATCCCTGAATATACGTTCCAATGCTGCTGTGAACAGTTTAGGAGAGATTGTATCTCCTTGGCGTACACCTTTGTTGATCCTAATCTTATTGGTGGTCTTGTGTAGTTTGACTGTAACAGAGCTATCGGTGTATATGTCTCTGAGGACGTCTACGTATCCATCTTCGATCCCTAGATCTTGCAGGGATGCCAGTATATACTGGGTTTCTACTAAGTCGAAGGCTTTTTCATAATCAACGAATGCTACACATAGTGGAATGTTATACTCGAGACATTTTTCTTTGAGCTGGTTGACAGTGTGCATATGATCAGTAGTGGTGTACTGGCCTCTGAAACCTGCTTGTTCCTTTGGCTGCGCTTCATCTAGTTGTCTTGTTAGCCTTTCGGTCAATATTTTGGTGTAAATCTTGTACAAATTAGAAAGTAGGCAGATGGGTCTGTAATTCTTGATGTCTTTCCTATTGCCCTTTTTGAACATTATGATCATGTTGGCGTTCTTCCATGCTACAGGAATTTCCTTCAGATGTAAGCACTTTGTGAAGAGCCTGGCTAATTCTTGAGATAGGATATCTCCTCCTGCTTTTACCATTTCTGCTTTGATGTTGTCATTTCCTGCTGCCTTTCCGTTCTTCATTTTCTGGACTGCTGACTCTACTTCCCAAGCTGTTATGTCTGGTAGATCGCATGCCTTTGTTGAGATTTCTGTTCCCTTGTTGCTGTCATACAACTCTCCATAGAATTCTTCTACTCGTTCTAATATCTGGTCTTGTGTGGTGAGCTCATTTTCATCTTTGTCTAGAAGAGTCAGCATTCTATCCTGCCCTAGTTGAAAGGACCTCTTTGCTCTTTTCATGCTCTTTCCATTTTCGATGGTCTCTGCTGTCTTCTTCATGTTCTGCTTCCTGATGTCTTCCCTTGCCTACTTCTTGATGGTCTTATCCAGTTCTGCATATTCGATGTTGTTTCTGATGTCCCTGTTGTTGTTTACCTCCGTTTTCTTCATCATCCGTCTTTTCTTCATGAGAATCCCCGTTTCTGTTGAGAGCTTTGAGTCCTTCATTTTACTGGCCGGTGCGACTTCTGATGCACATTCTAGGATGGTGGTCGTTATTCTATCGTTCATTTCATCTACTCCATCTTCACCTTCTAGTGCACTGAATCTGTTCGTTAGGAGGATTTGGAACTCGTCTTTCTTTACGACCAGTTGCTCGATACTAGGTCTCTTTGATGGATTTGACAGGCATTTCTGTCTGTCCTTCCTGACATTGACCCTAATCACTCCCATAACTGCTCTGTGGTCACTGCCCGCATCCAGTCTGTTTAGCACTTTCACATCCGTGAAGATGTTCGGTCTGTTTGTCATGATGTAATCAATTTCGTTTCTTGTACATCCATCTGGGCTTTGCCATGTCCATCTTCTTGATATCTTCTTCTTGTAGACGGTATTCATGATCTTCAAGTTATTTGCTGTCACCCATTCAATCAGTAAGTCTCCTCTTTCATTCCTCTCTCCGCTGCCAATTTCCCTGTGGCATGCTCTTGTTCGTCTGACTTTATCCCGATCTTGGCGTTGAAATCACCCATGACTATGTGGTAGTGGCAGTCTGTTGTCAACTGACGTTGTACTTCTTCATACAGTTGTTCTACTTCTTCATCTGGTCTGCTTGATGTTGGTGCATATACCTGAATGAGTTTCATTGAGAATCTCTGATTCACTTTGAGCTTGACTGTAGCCACCCTTGCGCTAATTTGCTGTACCTCGATGATGTTCTTGCTTAGCGCCTTGTGTATCAGAAATCCAACTCCTTGTTGGCCATTTGAAGCATTTGTATGGTACAATATATGTCCGCTTTTCAAGGTAATTAAGCGTTCTTCTGCTCGCCTAATTTCTGACAAGCCTATCATAAATGTATTATAATAATAATCGAAGTTAAGTGCCACAAAGACAAAAACGTGATAAGCCATCTTAAATTACGCCAAATTTCATTTTTTTCTATAATAATACTCTTCTATCCAAGACTAAAAAAGTGTCAAATATGTGATGTAAAATGCCATAGACCTCAATCGAGTAGGGGAGACCGGGGCTAGTTGGACCCCGGGGTAAGTTGGCCCCCCGTCAATTTATGAAAAAGTAACTACGAGGTAAAAAAATTGGCCACATGCTCTTGCAAAGTTACCGTAGCCTGCAATGCTAAGGAAGTGTCGGACGTTAAAAAGTTTTACTTAAGCTGTGAGTCGAAATAAACGATTCTTGCACCTAAAAGTAATTTTGTTTAAGAGATTTAAAAATCTATTATCATAGGCTTTTGATCGAATATAAGATATGTATAGGGCATCAAACTGAAGCTCATTGTTTCAAGTTTCACAGAGATNAGGGTTATTAGAGACTAAAACCTATGTTAGGCCTACATTTAAAATGATCACTTGTCAATAAAACACACACAAAAAGGATATTACATACAAAACTTTTCAAACCTTCTCTTTGTTGTTACACAAAAAGTCGTGAAAGTTCTTGAATTTTTTGTAAGTAGAATCCCCGTGTAAAACCTCACAGCTTTTACTTTCTTTTTCCAATTTTTTCTTCCCGCCTTCTCGCCTTCGAAATGTTCAGCGCAAACGCGGTGCCCTGCTTTTAATCCAAACCTGCTATATTTTCCTTTCTTTCTACCATATTTTTCATTCTAACGGGTTTGTTGGGAACTTATTATACCTCATGTGTCAATCTCGCTTACTGTTATTGTAGCAGCGGGACAAAAAGCACGTAAACTCAGCCATGGTTTTTAGCACCGCTGTAAGTGTTTCGACATAGCAGGGCTCCCGTACCCACAATGCAATTTCCATTTCCGGAAAAGATGAAAAAGGTCTATAGTGGCACTACTGACTAGTAGTACTACTGCACTTTAAGTGTACACTGGAATTTTGTATGGCTTCATAACGAAGAGAAATCGTTATTCGTTACAAATGTGTGTCACTTTGGAAATAATTTACCCATATGAGGAACGATTGTAGAAACGATGAACATTGGATTTCTTGACATTCCACAATCAAAAATGTCAAATATCTAGTATTATGTTTCGACCTTTTAAAAATGAACACCTTGCGCCTTTGTAACCCCCTTCCCGCCGTACAATCAACATTTACCCTAGTTACAAGAAATAACAACAGTCTTATATCATACCTGGCGAAAAAAAAACCACCTGGACTCACCTGTATCCGTCAGTAAACTCATCAGAGGAAAGGTTGCCGTTCACATATCGCGGCGAATCATGAAAGCTGCCATATTTGGTCATGTGATAGAATATCTCGTCACTGATTGGTCAGTTGTGAAAATCACATGGTCAAGGGTGAAAGCCGTGAATGAGAGAAGATGGCACCTCCACAGCAAGGTTAGAGAATTTTTTAAATACTTTCTTCATAACGCCGTAACAATTTCAGTTTAATGCAGTCGCTTCTCAGGAAAGTTGTTTCACACTGTTTGCTAGCTCTACCTCATTTTAATTTTATTATTTATTATTACTGACAGTGATTATTTGACATATATTAAACCGGCTGCTTAAAAAGGGTCAAGGTCAGGAAACACGTACGTTTCGTGGCTGAGCAGGCTGAAGGGTGCTCTCACACTCTCCTTGAAATTAACAAAGTCTGTGAAATGTTCCATTTGTCTGTATTATATAATTTGACCGGAATTGGTCAGTTATGTGAGTCTCTACAGTTAGTCATGCTTTAATGGACAAGAATGGACGGGCTCAGTTTTTGCTTTACAAGAAACCCTAAACACCTATGTCTGTGCACTAACCGCGCCCACCCCTCACCACGACGTAGTTCAAATTAAAAAGAGATCACCAATCACTGCAAAATATGGTACATCAGCACCACCAACGAACCCACCCACCCACTATGTGCTCCTCCTTCCCACAGCTCTGTACGTCTTCCCATCCATTTATGTGCAGATTTTTTAAAATTATTTTTTT